AACTACCATTATTACTATGTTATTGTTTTTTCTGTCTACTCTATTATATGTGGCATATTAGCCCGGACAAAAAAATACGGAGGCCTTTTTTCCTTTTTTTACATGTTGGTGGAAGTGTGAACCTAGTTAATGCATTGCACAATTTTATTGACTATTTTCCACTTTTTACAAAATTTTTATTGATTTCTGCCTTTTAGGATTCCTATTATTATTATTACTATATTAATAGTAAATTAATAGTAAATTGATTATTAAAAATCATAAAAGGCATGAATCAATAAAATATTGCAGAAGGTGGAAAGTAGTTAAAATGTACAATTTTATTGACCATTTTCCACTTTTCACAAAATTTTTTTGATTTCTGCCTTTTAGGATTACGATTTTTATTACTATATTAATATTCAAAAAAGCATGAATCAATAAATATATTGTGGAATATTTTTGCTTCTTTCCTCCTTTCACCAACGCATAAAAAAATACGTAGAAAAACATCTCCCAGTTATTCAAGGATAACATATGAAAAATAATAGAGAATACAAAAAAAAAACAATAATAATATAGTAATAATAGCAATCATAAAAGGCACGAATCAATAAAAAAAGTTTGCGGAAAGTAGTTAATAAAATTGTCCAAATTTTATCAACTTCTTTCCTCCTTCAACCAACATGGTTAGGGGGAAAAAAAAGGCCTCCTCATTCTTCAGGGCTAGCATATGAAAGATAATTGAAAAGACAGAAAAAAACAATATTAATATAGTAATAATAATATTATTATTATTATTATTAATTAATAAAAAATAATCAATAGAATACAATATATATTATATATATATATATATATATATATATATATATATATATATTAAAACATTCAAAAAAATTAATTTATTTATATAAAAAAAATACAATAAAAAAACAATATTAATATAATAATGATAGTTATTATTGTTATTATTATTAATAATAATAAATGGCAATAATCAATAGAATACATTATATATATATATATATATATATATATATATATATATAATATATAAAATATAAAAAAAATATTTATTTATAGAAAATAAACACAGAAAAACAATATTAATATAGTAATAATAATATAGTTATTGTTATTTATTAATAATAGTATTAATAATAATAAATGACAATAATCAACAGAATATTGCAGAAAGTGGAAAGTAGTCAATAAAGTTATATAATTTTACCAACTTCCTCCCACTAACACGTTTCGGCAGAAAAAAGCCTCCCCTTCTTCAGAGATAACATAGAAAAGATGGTAGAGCATACTATTACTATTTCTACATTATTTATTTATTATATATATATATATATATATATATATATATAATATATATATATATATATATAAAATGTAATTTATTTATATCAAAAACATTTATGTGTATTTATGTATATAAAATATTGTAGACCGTGGAAAGTAGTCAATAAATTAATACAATTTTACCAACTTCTTTCCTCCTTCCACCAACATGTTTCAGTAGAAAAAAGCCTCCCCATTCTTCAGGGCTAACATATGAAAGATAATTATGAAGACAGAGAAAAACAATATTAACAATATGAATATAGTAATAATAATAATAATTATAAACATAAAAGGTATTAATCAATAAAATATTGTAGAAAATGGAAAGTAGTCAATAAATTTATACAATTTTACCAACTTCCTTCCACCAACACGTTTCGCCAGAAAAATGCCTCCTTATTCTTCAGGGATAACATATGAAACATGATAGAGAATAGTTTTATTATTTCTACATTATTTATTTTTTTTTCTACTCTTTAATTATATGTTCGTTCCGAAAAATAGGGATTTCTTTTTTCCTCGAAATATGCTAAGGTGTGAAGTAGTTAATATATTGTACAATTTTATGGAAATAAAAATATATTGTACAATTTTATTTACGAAGAATTTTAATAGAGAAGACAGAAAAAAATACTATTAGTACTATTAGTATTACTATATTATTTTTTTTCTGTTTTCTCTATTATCTCTAATATTTTATCCATGAAGAATGGAGAGGGCTCTTTCCCCCCAAAACATGTTGGTGAAAGGTGGAAAGTAGTTGATAAAACTGTACGATTTATAATTAATATAATTTATTGACTATTATCCACCTTCCACAATATTTTATGAATTTATACCTTTTATATTTACTATTATTATTATTAATATATTATAGTCATAAAAGGCATGAATCCATAAAATATTGTGGAAGGTGGAAAATATTTAGTAAAAAAATGTCTACATTATTATCTTATATATGTTTGCCTGAAGAAGGGAGGAGGTCTTTTTTGCGTCATAATTGTGTGGGAAATTGTGCATTAATTGCAGAGATTTACTGAATATATATTTTTTTAATCAAAAAACATTTAATACTATCATCGACCATTTTCACTAGTTGCTCCTAACCCGATCATCAAAAATGTGTCTGATAAGCCCTCTCTTAGGTTCATAGGATGGTTGACTGAGCGCGCCCTCCGGAACATAATGGCCCCTACATTAGGATTCCAATATTTGGCAAACTGCTTTTCATTTTGCACAAAAAAAAAAAAAAAAAAAAAGATTGTAGCCAAATTTTTTTCTATAAAAATGTGAAATGTAGACTTAACAAAAAAGACAACAGGCATGTCAGTTGGACTAAACATAGAATATAAATAAAACAATTATGCCTGCTTGAGAAATGTTCATTCTAACCTCCCCCCTCTATTGAAAATATTGGACATTTATGATGGATTGCATAAATCAGCAGTGAAATTTCAGTTAAATAATGCACAAAAGTATTTTTAAGTGTATGTTTTTGGAAAAAAATAGAAAAGAAATAGATATTCAGTACATTTTCAGCACAATGTTTTGTCTCCTTAAGTAGAACACATCTGAAAAAAATCCATTGGCCTCCTAACTTCCTGTGCTCAGCTGACAACGCTGCCTCTACTTCCCTGAAATCCCAAGCAATGTTGTCAACCGTGCCTACAGGAATACGAAACTCCGCCTCTCTCCTTCCCTCTCTACATATATGTGTTGATTTATTTTCCTCTCCTGGACTGCAGAAGGCCTTCCTTTTTTTTTTTATTGCCATTTAAAAAAAAAATTACATAATACTAGTAGACCAACAGGAACTTGCGGCGTGGGAAATTGTGAATTAATTGAAGAGATTTACTGGATATATATGTATATTTTTTTTATTTTTTCCCAGACATACACTATGGGGTGTTTTTATAAAAAAAAAAAAATAAAAAAAATAAAAAAAAAAATTTTGTCCTTTAGAACTGCATGTAAATTGGTTCTGTTCAAATGGAGAAAAACCAGATGGCTTTCTTGCCCACAGAAATGAATGTTATTCAAAGAAAAAAAAAAACAAAAACCCAGCGTGAATAGGGAAAGTAATATACAGGTTTACGAATGTCTCGGTTAATGTGATTTTCGGTTTGCAAATTAAAATCCACTGAAAATAATGCCTCGGTTTATGAATTTTTTTTTTTACGATTTTTTTTTTGCAACACGAAGTGTATTTCGGTGCTGATTTGTAAATGCAATTGCCTTTTTTTTTTTCTTCACTATAGCTCACAGAATTAGCCGTCACTTTCCCCAGAGCTAAAGGCAACTTTGTTTCTTTTATCTCTGGAAAGAAACTAAAAGGAAACATTGTTTTTTTTTAACTTGGGGAAACAAACTAAAAGAAAACTGTTTCTTTTAACTCAGGGAAATAAACTAAAAGGAAACATTGTTTATTTTAACTCAGGAAAATAAACTAAACGGAAACATTGTTTCTTTTAACTCGGGAAAACAAACTAAAAAGAAACACTTTCTTTTAACTCAGGAAAATAAACTAATTTTAAAACTTTTAAAAGGAAACTAAATTGTTTCTTTTAACTCGGGGAAACAAACTAAAAGGAAACATTGTTTCTTTTAACTCGGGGGGAAATAAACGAAAAAGAAACTTTCTTTCTTTTAACTCCGGGAAACAAACAAAAAGGAAACGTTGTTTCTTTTAACTCCTGGAAACTGGGAAACAAACTAAAAGGAAACATTTTTTCTTTTAACTTGGGGAAATAACTAAAAGGAAACTTTCTTTTAACTCGGGGGAAACAAACTGAAAGGAAACATTGTTTCTTTTAACTCGGGGGGAAATAAACTAAAAGAAAACTTTCTTTCTTGTAACTCCGGAAAACAAACTAAAAGGAAACATTGTTTATTTTAACTGGGGGGAAAGTGACAGCTGATTCTCTGAGCTATAGTGAAGAAAAAAAAAAAAAAGCCAGTTATTACCTTTAAAAACCGGCACCGACCTATAGTGACAGAGACCTTTTTTTTACTTTTTTCTGACCTCCGGAATAATCGGTTTTCAATGCATTCCTACGGGAAACCGCGTTTCGGTTTACGAATTTTTTCGCAATACGAAACATCCCGGAGAACGCATTACATTTTCAAACCGAGGCACACCTGTATTACAGTCACTAGATGGCGCTGAGTATCACAGGAAATAAACAGGCTCCTCATCGCCATCTACTGGCCACAATGTAGTATTTCCCCCCCCCATTCACACTGTTTTTTCAATGGATAACATTTAATTCTCAGAATTTCCATGCAGTTTCAAATGAAGGACAGTTATGCAAATTTTTAAAAATAAAAACGCCCCTTTTCAGTTTTTTTTCAGGTAGGTTAATCCTATAAAATGAAAAACATTCATGACTGCCACTAAAAGCAGCAGCCAATATTCAGGAATGATTGCCGCCATCATAGTAATACAGATTAATAAATGATCCCTATAACTTAAGTTATCCCTCGCTAATTTGAAATGTTTTTTTTTTTCTTTTTTTCTCGCCAGTTACCTTTTACAAACTCACAATATCAACAGTTTGTTTGTGCAATAGAAAATAAAAAGAATATAAAAATGTTCCCTTTTTTTTTTTTTTTTTTCTTCTCCAGCGTTAAGTAAACACTGCTAAGAGGAATGAAGTATCGACGGTCTATTATCTTTTAGTTGTGATTTCCGGAGGTTGAGTGCTTTTTACTCCAGGCTTCGATACTTGGTGAAGAGATTGTACAGGACTCGCAGAGTGGATTTCAAGTCGCAGTTGACAATGTCTGTGGGTACAGAGCGCGGCCACAAGGTCAGAATTCAAAGAAACACCGGCAGAGCAACAACAAGTCATTTTCACGACAACATTAACTAACCTTCCGGCCTTGGCTTTGGGTTTCTCGAGACCGCCATCTTGCATGAGCTCAAAGGAAAATGATACATTGAGGACCTGAGGATAAAAAAAAAAAAAAAAAAAAAAGATTTTATTCAAGAACAGTTGAAAGAGAAAAAAAAAAAATATTCTACATTTAACTTGGTATTTGATATTCAGTCCTAGTGCCCAACCTGCAGCCCCAGGGCCATAGGCAGCCCTTTGGTGTTTGATGGGTGGCCCTTGGACCCAGCAGTTAGAGGGAGCATTGATTTCTAAGGGGGCCTCAAAAGTCATCTCTAGAGGTGCCTCGTGTCTGACTGGCTCCTACAGCATCAGGTGTGTGCCTATGGGAGCGCTGGACCAATGTAAGCAAGGCTTGGTATTGGTGGATGCCCAATGGAGTGAGTCCTCCTTTTGAAAGGGGCTAATACCCAACGGAGGTGCAGTGTCGATGGGACTTCCTATGGGTCCCGGGATCTCTGATAGCAACGTAGAGTACAATCAGCACCAGGGGCGGACTGACAACTCTTGGGGCCCCCGGAAATAGGTGATCATGGGGCCCCTGTGTCCTTGCCCACACTCAAAGCACACCCCAAAAAAAGACTATAAAAGGTATCAGGGGCATTTCATGGGGCCCCTTACTGACCCCGGGCCCTCGGGCAGTGGCCGAGTGCTCGAATGGTCAGTCCGCCCCTGCTCAGCACATATTTCGGGATAGGTGTAGAAAAGCTTCCGGTACAAAACTTCCTATCATTTGGTGGTCTGTTCGAAATGTTATTTATCAAGAGCAACAGGTAAAGCCAATGCATTTGGGGGGGAGGGATCTTTTTTTTTTTTTTTTTGTATTCTATTTATTAGTTTTGAATTATATTTTAAAAATATTCTTCCCAAATATATTGCCATATATTTGAAATGCTACAATTTTGGCCACATTCAATATAAGATATATTTCAATATATATATATATATATACACACACACACACACTTTGTTGTTGAAATGCATTTTTATTACAAAATATCTGAAAAATATTTTTAAAAATACATTTCAAATACACTGCATGTCTTTAAAAAAAAGTACAAATATAAATTTTTGGAATGCATTTCCAAATATGTGTAACAATATATGTTAAAATGACTTTTTTATATGGTAAAAAAATATGAAGAATATATTTTAAAAATAAAATATATTTTTAAATATATTCTCCGGATTTTTTTTAACATATAAAAAAGCCATTTTAACATGTATTTTTACATATATTTGTAAATGCATTCCAAAAATGTAGATTTTCCATCAGCTTTTATTTCTTTTTAAAATATTATTAATTTATTATTATTTCGTTTTTTTGTTAGAGTTAAGGTTAGTTTAGGGTTAGGATTAGAGGTTAGGGTTTTTTTTTGGGGTTAGTATTTTATTTTTTTATTTTTTTATTTTTTTTTATCTATTTTTTTTTAGAGTTTTGATAACAACAATAATAAATTTAAATAAAATTCACAAATAAATAAAAAAATTTTCATAAATTTTTTTTGTAATATAAATTTTTTATAATTAACCCATAACCTTAACCCCCTAAATTTTTTTTTAAAAAAGTTTTATAATAATAATAATAATAATTTATTATTAATAATGTTTTTTTTTTGTTTGGGTGTTTAATTTTTATTATTTTTTATTTTAATAATAATAATAATTTTTAATAATAATGTATTTTTTGTTTGGGTTTTAATAATTAATAATTATTATTATTATTATTATTATTATTATTAATTTTTTAGGTTTTCTTTTTTTTTTAAAAAAAATAACAATGATAATAATAATTTTTAATTATTTTTTTTTTTTTTTATAATAAGAGGAATAATACGTTTTTTTATAATAATAATTTAATTTTTTTTTTTTTTGCTTATTTATTATTATTATTAATGTATTTCTTTGTTTTTTTTGTTTTTTTTTCATATCAAATTTTTTTTTTTTATTATTATTATTATTATTTTTTATTTTTTTTTTTTTTTTTTTTTTTAATATTTTTTTATTTTTTTTTTTTTTTTTTTTTTTTTTTTTTATTTTTATTATTATTATTTTTTTTTATTTTTTTTAATAATAATAATAATAATGCATTTTTTTTTTTTTTTTTTAAATAATAATAATAATAAATATTTTTTTTTTTTTTATTATATTATTTTTTTTTAATAATAATATTTAATAATTTTTTTTTGTTTTTTTATTTTTTTTTTTTTTTTTCACCTAGTTTTTTTTTTTTTTTTAATTATTTTTTTTTTTTTTTTTTATAATGATTTATTTTTTTGATTTTTTTTTATTCGTATTTTTTTTTTTTTTTATTTGAGCAGAAATTGCGCAAAACGCGCATTAAAAGGCGCGAAAGCTTTTTTTTTTTTTTTTGCCAATCACGCGTTTCTATTCTTTTCTATGAGAATAAAAAAGTGCCAAAAACATGCAAATCTGCCCAATTTGAACTACAAAAGTAGTTCCAATTTTTTTTGTTTTTTTCAGGTGACTTGGAGTGGAGGTGCGAACCGTCTCCATGGAGTAATATTGATTTTTTTTTAAATTTTTTTTTTTTTTTTATTTTTTTTTTTTTTTGCGCTACAAAACACTTTTATTGAATGGGGCCTTAATTTTTTTTTTTTTTTTAATGGCATGATTTGCATGGCTTTTTTTTATTTTTGAAGTGAAGAATAAACCCCTTTTTAGCAGTGGGTGGGAAGTTTGACAGGTGAATTTTATTAAAAAAGATTCATTGATTTAACAATTCCTCTAAATCCATTCTCATCGTTTTTTTTTTATTTTTCTACTTTTAGTTACATATATAAATTCCAACTTTTTTCTTCTTCATATTTTTGCAGAAACAACAAAGACAACGTAACATTCAATGTATCATTTTTTTTTTTTGTATGAAACAATTGCAGGATTCCAGCCATTTTACCTTCTGCTCAAAGCTGTCCGGAGTCAGAAAGAAAATTGTAGAGAGGAACAAAGTTTTTATTTTTTCCAGAAGACCCATCAACAGGACGAGATACACGCCATCTGCAAACTGCGACACCCACATGGAAGAGAAATAGGTTTCCAATATATTTAGAAAAATAAAAATATATATTGACATATATTTACAAAACACTATTTTATATTTTAACATGCATTCAAAAAAAATTAAATTAAATATTCTTTTTAAAGGCATTTTTTTAAAAATATAATATATTTTTAAAATTATATTTTTTTTCAGATTTTTTTTTTTTTATAAAAAAGTAATTTCTTTTTTATTTTTTTTTTTTTTTTTTTTAATATATAATAAAACGGATTTCAACATAAATTTAGTATGTGACATATATTTTTACAATATATTGGATTTTTTTAATCTATTTTAACATGTTTTCTAAAAAATTAAATGTAAATATTTTTTTTCTAAAGGCATACATTTAAAAATATATTTTTTTTTTTAAAATATATTCTTCATTTTTTTTTAAAAACATATAAAATAGTCATTTTAACATATATTTGTAAATGGACTCAAAAAATGTTTATTTTTTTTTTTCAAAGATTTTTTTTTAAAATTATTTTTTTTTTATTTTTTTTTTTTTTTTAAAATATATATTAAACACATTTTTTTTAAAGTAGTACGTGACATATAATTACAATATATTTACGCTATATATTTTTTTTTTAATTAAAAAAAATGTAAATTAAATATATTTTTAAAGGCATATTTTTTTTTATATATTTTTAAAATATATTTTCAGATTTTTTTTTTAATTTATATTTTTTTTAAATCATTTTAAAACATTTTTTTTGCATTCCAAAAATTTGGATTAAATTATATTTGAGAAAATTTTTTAAAAAATAATTTTCAGATAATTTTTTTTAATATTAATAAACGGATATTATTAATTTTTTATGTGACATATTTTAATTTTTTTTTTTTAAATTTTTTAACATGTTTCTAAAAAATTTTTTAAATATTTTTTTATAAAGGCATACATTTTTTTTTATATTTTTTAAAATAAATTCTTTTTTTTTTTTAAATTAAAAAAATTTTTTTAACATTCATTTTTATTATTTTTTTAAATATTAAAAAATTTTTTTTTAAATTTTTTTTTTTTTTTTTTTTTTTTTATATTTGAAAATTTTTTTTTTTTAAAATTATTTTAGATAATTTTTTAATATATTTTAAACACATTTTTTTTTTTTATTTTTTTTTTTTTTTTATATTTTTTTTTATATTTTTTGGCCTTTAATTTTTAACATGTTTTAAAAAATTAAATTAAATTTATATATAATTTTAAAAGGCATACATTTAATAATATTATTTTTTTAAATATATTCTTTTTTTTTTTTTTAAACATTTTTTTTAAAATAGTTTTATTTTAACATATATTTGTAAATGGACTCCAAAAATTGGATTTTAAATGAACTTTTTTTATTTTTTTTATTTGAAAATGCATTCCAAAAATTTTGATTAAATTATTTTTTTTTTTTTTTTTTTTAAAAAATATTTTCAGATTTTTTTTTTTATTTTTTTTTTTTTTTTTTTTTTTTTTTTTTTTTTTATTTTTTTATTAATTTTTTTATTTTTTTATTTTTTTTAGTTTTTCTAATTTTTAATATTTTAAAACATTTTTTAAAAAATTATTTTTATTTTTTTTTTTTCTATTTTTTTTTACATTTAAATTTTTTTTTTTTTTAAAATTTATTCTTTTTTTTTTTAAACATTAGAAAAAAGTCATTTTAACATTTTTTTTTATATATTTTAAATTTATTTAAAAATTTTTTTTTTATTTAATTTCAAAGACATATATTTTGAAAAATTTTTTTTAAATTTTATTTTTTTCAAATTTTTTTTTTTTAATATTTTAATAATGTATTTTCAAAGACATATATTTGAAAATGTATTTTTAAAAATATTTTTCAGATATTTTTTAATATATAATAAATGCATTTCATTCAACATAAAAGTATATATATATATATATATATATATATATATATATATATTATATATATATATACACACATATATATACATGCACACTAAAATATATTGAATCCAGCCATAATTGTAGCATTTAAAATATATGTCAATATATTTGGGAAGAATATTTTCAAAATATATTTAAAGTTTATTTTTCTTCCACGTGGGCACAAACATATTATTGAAAAACAAAATAAAAAAAAATATATCTTTCATTTTCACTGTAACTTTGAAAATGGTAAAAAGCGACGGACCAGTAAATTGAAAGAAAAGCCGCCGTCATTCACACAACAAAAGCCACCAGCTACTACTGTGGTTATCTTCTCCAAACTAGCTGTCTGCATGTGGTATGCATGACGGCAGCCGGAGAGGAGTGCGATCATCAACAGCAGCACAAGCTGGTAGCTACTACACTAGTCTCTCTCAGACAAATGAAGTAGCTGTCGGCTTGTGTTGCTGTTGACTTTGTGTATTTGTGAATGATGGAATGCCACTCCAGCCACTGTCATTCATGCAACAAACACCTCCAACTACTACTATAGTCATCTCCTCCATACTAGATGTTAGTTTGTGTTGAGCATGACGGCAGCTGGTGAGGAGTGCCGTCATTCACATGCACACAAGCTGACAGCAACACAAACCGGCAGTTACTACACTAGTCTCTCTCAGACAAATGTAGTAGCTGCCATTTTGTATTGCTGTTGATTTGTGTTTTCGTGAATGACACCTTGCTGCTCCAGCTGCTGTCATTCACACAGCAAATGCCGCCAGCTGGAGTGGAGTGCCTTCATTCACAAAACACAAGCCGACAGCAACACAAAGCCAGTAGCTACTACACTAGTCTCTCTCAGACAAATGTAGTAGCTGTCGGCTTGTGTTGCTTTTGGCCTGTGTTTTTTGTGAATGACAGCACTTCTCTCCAGCCGCTGTCATTCACACAACAAATGTCACTAGCTACTACAGTAGTCCTCATCTCCAAACTAGCAGGCTATTTGGGTTGTGCATAACGACAGCTGGAGAGGAGCGCTGTCATTCACAGAAACACAAGCTGACAGCAACACAAACCCGCAGCTACTACACTAGTCTCTCTCAGACAAATGTAGTAGCTGACATTTTGTATTGCTGTTGATTTGTTTTCATGAATGACACCTTGCTGCTCCAGCTGCTGTAATTCACACAGCAAATGCCGCCAGCTGGAGTTTGACTCATTCACAAAACACAAACTGACAGCAACACAAACTGGCAGCTACTACACTAGTCTCTCTCAGACAAATGTAGTAGCTGACATTTTTGTGTTGCTGTTAATTTGTGTTTTCGTGAATGAGACCTTGCTGCACCAGCTGCTGTCATTCACACAGCAAATGCCGCCAGCTGGAGTGGAGTGCCTTCATTCACAAAACACAAGCCGACAGCAACACAAGCCTGTAGCTATTACACTAGTCTCTCTCATACAGATGTAGTAGCTGTTGACGTGTGTAGCTGTTGGCCTGTATTTTTGTGAATGACAGCAATCCTCTCCAGCAGTTCTAATTCACACAACTGTCACCAGCTACTACTATAGTCACCTCCTCTAAACTAACTGGCGGTTTGTGTTGTATATGATGGCAGCTGGAGAGAAGCGCTGTCATTCACAAAAAAACACAAGATGACAGAAACACAAACCAGCAGCTACTACACTAGTCTCTCTCAGACAAATGTAGTAACTGCCGTTTTGTGTTGCTGTTGATTTGTGTGTTTTTGTGAATGACACCTTGCTGCACCAGCTGCTGTCATTCACACAGCAAATGCTGCCAGCTACTACTGTAGTCACCTCCTCTAAACTAACTGGTGGTTTGTGTTGTATATGATGGCAGCTGGAGAGAAGCACTGTCATTCACAAAGCTGGCAGCAACACAATCCAGTCGCTTTTACACTAGTCTCTGCTAGACAAATGTAGTCGCTGTTAGATTGCGTTTCTGTTGGCTTGTGTTTATTGTGAATGACAGCGCTCACCTCCAGCCGCTGTTATTCACATAACAGATGCCGCCAGCTACTACTATAGTCATCTCCTCCAAACTAGCTGGCGACTTGTGTTGTGCATGACAACAGCTGGAGAGGAGCGTTGTCATTCACAGAAACACAAGCTGACAGCAACACAAACCGGCAGCTACTACACTAGTCTCTCTCAGACAAATGTAGTAGTTGTTGCTGTTGATCTGTGTTTTTGTGAATGACACCTTGCTTCAGCAGCTGCTGTCATTCACACAACAAACGTCGCTAGCTGCTACTGTAGTCACCATCTCCAAACTAGCAGGCTGTTTAGGTTATGTATGACGACAGCTGGAAAGGAGCGTTATCATTCACAGAAACACAAGCTGACAGCAACACAAACTGGCAGTTACATTTTGTCTGAGAGAGACTAGTGTAGTAGTAGCTGAAATTTTGTGTTGCTGTTGATTTGTGTTTTTGTGAATGACACCTTGCTGCACCAGCTGCTGTCATTCACACAGCAAATGCTGCCAGCTACTACTGTAGTCACCTCCTCTAAACTAACTGGTGGTTTGTGTTGTATACAGTATGATGGCAGCTGGAGAGAAGCGCTGTCATTCACAAAGCTGGCAGCAACACAATCCAGTCGCTTTTACACTAGTCTCTGCTAGACAAATGTAGTCGCTGTTAGATTGCGTTCCTGTTGGCTTGTGTTTTTTGTGAATGACAGCGCTCCCCTCCAGCCGCTATTATTCACATAAAATATGCCGCCAGCTACTACTATAGTCATCTCCTCCAAACTAGCTGGCGACTTGTGTTGTGCATGACAACAGCTGGAGAGGAGCGTTGTCATTCACAGAAACACAAGCTGACAGCAACACAAACCGGCAGCTACTACACTAGTCTCTCTCAGACAAATGTAGTAGTTGTTGCTGTTGATCTGTGTTTTTGTGAATGACACCTTGCTACAGCAGCTGCTGTCATTCACACAACAAACGTCGCTAGCTGCTACTGTAGTCATCATCTCCAAACTAGCAGGCTGTTTGGGTTGTGTATGACGACAGCTGGAGAGAAGCGTTATCATTCACAGAAACACAAGCTGACAGCAACACAAACTAGCAGTTACTACACTAGTCTCTCTCAGACAAATGTAGTAGCTGAAATTTTGTGTTGCTGTTGATCTGTGTTTTCGTGAATGACACCTTGCTGCTCCAGCTGCTGTCATTCACACAGCAAATGCTGCCAGCCACTACTGTAGTCACCTCCTCTAAACTAACTGGTGGTTTGGGTTGTATGTGATGGCAGCTGGAGAGAAGCGCTGTCATTCACAAAAAAAAAACACAAGCTGACAGCAACACAAAGCCAGTAGATATTACACAAGTCTCTCTCAGACAAATGTAGTCGCTGTTAGATTGTGTTCCTGTAGGCTTGTGGTTTTTGTGAATGACAGCGCTCCCCTCCATCCGCTGTTATTCACATAACATATGCCGCCAGCTACTACTATAGTCATCTCCTCCAAACTAGCTGGCAGCTACTACACTAGTCTCTCTCAGACAGATGCAGTAGCTGTTGACATGTATTTTTGTGAAGGACAGCAATCCTCTCTAGCAGCTCTAATTCACACATCTGTCACCAGCTACTACTATAGTCACCTCCTCTAAACTAGCTGGCGACTTGTGTTGTGTATGACGGCATCTGGAGAGGAGCGCCATCATTCGCAGAAACACAAGTCAGCAGCTATTACACTAGTCTCTCTCAGACAGCTTGAAATGCTGTCAGCTTGTGTTTTTTGTGCAAAAAAAAAAAACTTTTGCCATTTACTCAACCGCTGCCAGCCACCAGCTACTACTGTACTCATCCTCTCCAAACTTTTGATGACTTGTGTTGAGAATGATGAACGCCAGAGATTGTTGATCCAGGTAAAATCTGATTGCCGTAGGGATCAGTGAGGAGTATTATTGCCCTTTGGGAGCAGTTGAACCCTGCTTTATCATTTATTTTGCCTTCCTCTGTAGATATAGGGCTCTATATCGCTCCATCTCCGCCACCCCCCTCTGCCAATCCCTCCACTGGCCTCCACTCAGTGTCCTCCACCCCCCTCTGCCAATCCCTCCACTCAGTGTCCTCCATCCCTCTCTGCCAATCCCTCCATTGGCCTCCACTCAGTGTCCTCCATCCCTCTCTGCCAATCCCTCCACTGGCCTCCATTCAGTGTCCTCCACCCCCTCTGCCAATCCCTCCACTGGCCTCCATTCAGTGTCCTCCACCCCCTCTGCCAATCCCTCCACTGGCTTCCGATTGCCCAACGGATCAAATTCAAAATCCTAACACTGACGTACAAAGTCGTCCACCATACTGCCCCGAACTACATCACTGACCTAATATCCAGGTACCACCCAACACGCACACTCCGCCTCCTCACAAGACCTCCTTCTCTCTAGTTCCCTGGTCTCCTCCTCCCATGCCCGCCTCCAGGACTTCTCCAGGGTGTCACCCATCCTCTGGAACTCCCTGCCCCAACCCATCAGATTATCACCTACTCTCCTCTCCTTCACCCTGAAAACCCATCTCTTCAGGGAAGCCTACCCCACCCCCTACTAACTTGACTGATCTCCTCCACTCTTCCTACCACCCCATCCCCCACAGCTATCTCCTCCTGTGCCACCATCCCCTCCCTCCTAGATTGTAAGCTCCAAGGAGCAGGGCCCTCAATCCCCTCATGTTTTGCATTGTATTGGTATTGTTCTGTCACATGTTCTGTCCCCCTTTGTAATGTACAGCGCTGAGCGAACTATTGGCGCTTTATAAATACTGTATAATAATAATAATAATAAATATATATGCAATTTTTTTTCTATTGGTTTAACTTGATGAACTTGTGTTCTTTTTTTTCCAATCGTGTAAAACTCAAGAATGAAAATGTAATATATTGCAGCGTTCCAGTCCTTAGATGTGGTGGCTGCATTCGTTTTCTCTTTTTAGCCCCTCCCCCCTTTGTTTTCACCTGTTGAACCTGCTAGTAACACACTTCCTAGCCTAAGGTGACAACACTTATCACACTGTATCTATAGAGTAGCTGCATTGTCACCCGTAGACAAAAAGTGTGTAAGGATTACAAAATACCTCCCCTTTTCCTCATCCCCATAACATAGGGGGAGGTGTTCTGTAGTTCACCGAGGTTAATGGGGAGGGCTTATGACACTGCTTAACATAACACTGCACAGTATCTCTGTTTTGTACTTGATGCATGCTCGCTCGATTGTTGACAACTGGAATCCAGTGGCGTTGGCTCCCGTTTACCATTGTCAGCCAATGATAGTGATCACATATCTGGAAGGCCAACATTATAAACTCTTAAAGGGCCGGCGCCCGCTATCTAGAAGGGGTTCAAGGCAACGCTCTCTCCAGCGCCATCTGTGAGCATATTCTCCCAAGGCAGTACTGCACCTAAATTATGCGGTTAAAGGCAAACCACAATCAAGACACATTACACACTTGAAGATTCTCTAGACCAGGGGTCTCCAAACTTTACATACAAAAGGGCCAGTTTACTGTCCTTCAGACTTTAGGGGGGCCGGACTGTGGACATTGGGAGTATAAAATGTCCCAGCATCAGTGGGAGCAAATAATGCCCCATCATTGGTGTTATTGGGAGGATATGTGCCCCATCATTGGTGTATTGGGCCCAATTGTTGGTGTCATTGGGCAGAACTGTGCCCCATCGTTGGTATCATTGGGAGAAATTGTGCCCCATCATCGGTGTACTGGGCCCAATTGTTGGTGTCATCGGGCAGAACTGTGCCCCATGGTTGGTGTCATTGGGAGGAATTGTGCCCCTTCATTGGTGTCTTTGGGAGGAATTGTGCCCCTTCGTTGGTGTCAGTTGGGGGAATTATGCCCCATTGTTGGTGTCAGTGGATGAAATATTGCTCCAAGGGCTAGATGAAAGCAAGCAAAGGGCCACAGTTTGGAGACCACTGCTCTAGACCAATACAATACCTCACTGTGTCACTGGGGAATCATGCCCTATCATTGGTGTTATTGGAAGGAATTATGCCCCATCATTGGTATATTGGGCCCAATTGTTGGTGTCATTGGGCTGAACTGTGCCCCATTGTTGGTGTCATTGGGAATAATTGCGCCCCTTCATTGGTGTCATTGGGAGGAATTGTGCCCCATCATTGGTGTCATTGGGAGGAATTGTGCCCCATCATTGGTGTCTTTGGGAGGAATTGTGCCCCTTTGTTGGTGTCAGTTGGGGGAATTATGCCCCATTGTTGGTGACAGTGGTTGAAATATTGCTCCAAGGGCCAGATAAAAGCAATCAAAGGGCCACATCTGGCCCCCAGGCCACAGTTTGGAGACCACTGCTCTAGACCAATACAATACCTCACTGTATCACTGGGGAATTGTTCCCCATCATTGGTGTATTGGGCCCAATTGTTGGTGTCATTGGGCTGAACTGTGCCCCATTGTTGGTGTAATTGGGAGGAATTGCGCCCCTTCATTGGTGTCATTGGGAGGAATTGTGCCCCATCATTAGTGTCATTGGGAGGAATTGTGTTCCTTCATTGGTGTCATTGGGAGGAATTGTGCCCCATCATTGGTGTATTGGGCCCAACTGTTGGTGTTATTGGGCAGAAATGTGCCCCATCGTTGGTGTCACTGGGAGGAATTTTGCCCCATCATTGGTGTATTGGGCCCAATTGTTGGTGTTATTGGGCAGAAATGTGCCCCATTGTTGGTGTCATTGGGAGGAATTGTGCCCCATCACTGGCGTCATTGGGAGGAATTACGCCCCTTCATTGGTGTCTTTGGAAGGAATTGCGTCCCTTCATTGGCGTCTTTGGGAGGAATTGTGCCCCTTGTTGGTGTCAGTTGGGGGAATTATGCCCCATTTTTGGTGTCAGTGGATGAAATATTGCTCCAAGGGACAGAAAAATGCAAGCAAAGGGCCACAGTTTGGAGACCACTGCTCTAGACCAATACAATACCTCACTGTGTCACTGGGGAACCATGCCCCATCATTGGTGTATTGGGTCCAATTGTTGGTGTCATTGGGCAGAACTGTGCCCCATCGTTGGTGTCATTGGCAGGAATTTTGCCCCATCATTGGTGTATTGGGTCCAATTGTTGGTGTCATTGGGCAGAACTGTGTCTCATTGTTGGTGTCATTGGGAGGAATTGTGCCCCATCATTGGTGTCATTGGGAGGAATTACGCCCCATCATTGGTGTCATTGGGAGGAATTACGCCCCTTCATTGGCGTCTTTGGGAGGAATTGTGCCCCTTGTTGGTGTCAGTTGGGGGAATTATGCCCCATTTGTGGTGTCAGTAGATGGAATATTGCTCCAATGACCAGATAAAAGCACACAGTCACAGTTTGGAGACCACTGCTCTAGACCAATACAATACCTCACCTGTGTCTCCAGCTCCGTCACTTCCAGGTTCAGCTTATTTAGGTGTTTGTTAACAAATGTGATCAAAGTCTGAAACGCAGAGTAAAAAACAGACAGTAAATACTTGGTGTCCATATAACAGGTTGAGAAAATCAGGGGAATACCCCTAGAATGGAGAATAAAATCACATGGGGTCATATTTACAAGAACTGATTTTTTTTTTAGCCGATACCTTTTTTATATTTTGCTATCCTAGATTGATATTGGTGGATTTGAAGTTGCTTTCTAATGTTTTATTACTACTAGTTTAGCCACGGTTTACATTTATAAAATTAACCACATATAATATTTCTCTTATCAATAAATATTCAATACACGACAAAGGATTCCCAGAGTTTAATAGGTTAGCTTCAAGTATATCTAAATCCATTTATTTGATTTTTGTTTTGGATAAAGTAAAAGGAGGGTTTTAAATCCTTGCCTTCTTTTTATGTCAAAATGTTAAATGTTCTCATAAGACAGGAAAAGAAAATCCCCTGAATGTGGCACAGACAGGAATTTGAACCCTTCCCTTGTTAGGACCTGGAACACTGGCTGGTGGCACTGTGGTTCCCAGAGCAGAAGGCTGTAGTACCGGTGTCCACCTGCAGGTGTCTCCAAACAGCCAGCAGATCTAAGTAATCAGTTTCCGCGGGATGCTGGCTGTTGGGCGGGTATTTAGTCCCTTTTCCATCCTTGCCTTTCTTTTGTGTCCCATGTGAAAAGGTTTTCCTCCACTTTCTGTCTACCAACAAAACAGGAAGTGAGAGAAGACCTGTCTAAAGTGAGAAAAATTCCCCCTAAAAAAATTCCCCCAGTTGTCACCAGAACAAGTGTCCTAATTGGAAGACTGTTTCAGTGCAACTCAAAATGTTAAATGTTCTCATAAGACAGGAAAATAAAATCACCTGAATGTGGCACAGACAGGAATTTGAACCCTTCAATTGTTAGGACCTGATCACTGGCTTGTGGCACTGTGGTTCCCAGAGCAGAAGGCTGTAGTACCGGTGTCCACCTGCAGGTGTCTCCAAACAGCCAGCAGATCTAAGTAATCAGTTTCCACCAGATGCTGGCTGTTGGGCGGGTATTTAGTCCCTTTTCAATCCTTGCCTTTCTTTTGTGTCCCATGTGAAAAGGTTTTCCTCCACTTTCTGTCTACCAACAAAACAGGAAGTGAGAGAAGACCTGTCTAAAGTGAGAAAAATCCCCCTAAAAAAATTCCCCCAGTTGTCACCAGAACAAGTGTCCTAATTGGAAGACTGTTTCAGTGCAACTCAAAATGTTAAATGTTCTGATAAGACAGGAAAATAAAATCTCCTGAATGTGGCACAGACAGGAATTTGAACCCTTCAATTGTTAGGACCTGATCACTGGCTTGTGGCACTGTGGTTCCCAGAGCAGAAGGCTGTAGTTCCGGTGTCCACCAGTAGGTGTCCCAAGCAGCCAGCAGATCTATGTAATCAGTTTCCACCGATTCTGGCTGCTGGGCGGATATTTAGGTTTTAGTCCCATTTTCAATCCTTGCTTTAATTTTATGTCTCATGTGAGAAGGTTTTCCTCCACTTTCTGTCTACCAACAAAACAGGAAGTGAGAAAGAACTGTCTAAAGTGAGGAACATACCCCCTTACAAAATTCCCCCCAGTTATCAATAGAATACGTTTCCCAATTGTCCCAACTGTTTCAGTGCAACTCAAAATGTTAAATGTTCTCTTAAGAAAGGAAAAGAAAATCCCCTGAATGTAGCACAGAGAGAAATTTGAACCCTTCAATTGGTAGGACCTGGATCACTGGCTGGTAGCACTGTGATTCCCAGAGCAGAACGATTTAGTTCCAGTGTCCCCCAGCAGGTGTCTCCAAGCAGCCAGCAGATCTAAGTAATCAGTTTACACTCGATTCTGGCTGCTGGGTGGGTATTTTCAATCCCTGCCTTCCTTTTTATGTCCCATGGGAGAAAGTTTTCCTCCACTTTCTGTCTACCAACAAAATAGAAGGTGAAAGAAGACCTGTCTAAAGTGAGGAAAATTTCCCTTTACAAAATTCCCCCCTGTTGTTACCAAAACAAGTGTCCCAATTGGAAGACTGTTTCAGTGAAACTCAAAATGCTAAATGTTCTCATAAGACAGGAAAATAAAATCCCCTGAATGTGGCACAGACAGGAATTTGAACCCTTCAATTGTTAGGACCTGGATCACTGGCTGGTGGCACTGTGGTTCCGGTGTCCACCAGTAGGTGTCTCCAAGCAGTCAGCAGATCTAAGTAATCAGTTTCCACCCGATTCTGGCTGCTGGGCGGGTATTTAGTCCCTTTTCTACTAGTAATAAAGAAAATTAATAATAGCGCCTATGGTCAAAATAAAAATTATATAACTCACTAATAGTGTACCAGCTGCAAAAAATCACCATGTATAAAGTGTAACAATTAATGCAATAAATAATTTGCGCTAGTAAATATATATATAAATATATAAATAATAAAAAAATAAAAAAGTTCAAATCATAAGTCCAGAATAAAAATACCAATACCACAGAAAAATGTGCAAAAAAACTTTTGTGCAAAAAAAGTGTCTAGATATGAAAAAACATCACCAAAAAACCTTGATAATATGATGGCAGGTCATCCATAGATATATTTTCAGAAACGAAACTCTGCAGCACACCGATCCTCATCGATCAAATAACAAAATGAAAGAAGCTTTTCAAATTATCGGAAATCCACTTCTCCAAAAGAAAGAAACCACCTTCAATCGTATCCAAGGAGGAAGATGCCAGGCACTCGAGAAAAACAGAGAGACTTCATGGTGCAGTATTATAAAAGCCAATTCCTTTATTAGGTACTCATTGCACTTACTCAGGAGGTGTCCCAGCCGACACCAGCATCAACAGCATAGCAGCAATCACATGGGGGCGGCTTGCCTGCGTGATTCCCCATTGATGTCAGCTGTTAGTTTCTTGTGAAGTGAATATTTAATGAGGTTGCGACGTCTCACATCCATCCGCTCCGTGAGGACGTCGATGACGAAACGCGTAGGGCGGAGCTTGATTGATGTGTGACGTCATTACGTTTGGCTGCTAGCTACTGCGCGTGTGCTGAGTAGCTAGGCTCGTTTTATGTGATTGCTGCTATGCTGTTGATGCTGGTGTCGGCTGGGACACCTCCTGAGTAAGTGCAATGAGTACCTAATAAAGGAATTGGCTTTTATAATACTGCACCATGAAGTCTCTCTGTTTTTCTCGAGTGCCTGGCATCTTCCTCCTTGGATACGATTGAAGGTGGTTTCTTTCTTTTGGAGAAGTGGATTTCCGATGATTTGAAAAGCTTCTTTCCTTTTCTACTAGTGTTTCTTGCTTCATCGTTTTGCTCTGCTAGCCAGATACTGCTTGCCATTTATCCTGTCCTGACCCTGATTCTGATCTTTTTCTTGCCCTGCACCCTGTACCCTGCTGCCTTGTATCTGTTCTCCATGTTCCTTGATCCCAGTCCTGGTTTCCCCCTCCTCCTTGCTTCTTCGGTTTTACCTTGTTGATCCATGTTCCCCATTTTGTGCCTATTGTATATAGTTTGTTAGTTAGGCTTTCTGTCACTCAGGTTGTTTGTTAGGCATTTTGTTATTGGGTTATAGTTCACTTGTATCTTCATGTTTGCTGTGTTTCCCGTTTTCTTTTCTTTTAATATTAATAAAAGTTTTTTCAGCGGAAACGGAGGGGAACCCAAATTCCGGCACCTCCAACACTAAATGTATGTAATGGAAAAAGGTGCTTGGGTGTGCAGGAGGGCCTTTTGATGCTGGCTGTCGGGGGATCTATTGTTGCTGGGGGGGTGGATATCTTAATGAGGGAGGAGTCTATTGTTGCTGGCTGCTGGGAGATCTGTTGTTGCTGGAGTGGGTCTATTGTCGCTGGGGGGTGGTTTTGTTCCTGGGAGTGCTTTTGGTACTGGCAGCAAGGGATCTATTTGACTGCTTTTTATGTTTTCTAAAAGTGTTACTAAACCCATAACAGTACAATCAGTCTGTAGATGCAGTAAAGAATGCTTGTTATACTCACTGTGGAAAACCTAAGGGGTTAACCCTCCCCACTGTGTAAAAAGTCTGACTGATCCTGTTTTCTCTGATCCTCCTCTTCTTCTACTGTTCCCAATCCATCTGCTGATGGTACAGAGCTCTAGGAGTCACTCTGCACATGCTCAGTTTACTGTGTATTGCTAGAGATTTTTTTTCTTTGAGAGGGTGCATGTTTGGGAGGACCAATCATAACTCTCCAGACAAAGGGTCAGGGGTTATGAAGCCTCATAGGACATTCAGAAGAGAATGAAAACTCCTGCTACAAGCTTTAACCAGTGCTCAGCCAAACACTGATAGAAGTCACAAGATTGCTATATAATGCTGATGGAAAAGGTATTTAGCAGTTTATATTTACTAAAATAAGTGCATTTCCATGTTGTGTGTACTGTGGGAGACCGGATATAGTGAATGCGGGGTCCGGGGAGACTGGATATAGTGAATGCAGGGTCCGGGGGAGAATGGATATAGTGAATGCGGGGTCCGGGGAGAGTGGATATAGTGAACACAGGGTCCTGAGAGAGCGGATATAGTGAATGCGGGGTCCAGGGAGACCGGATATAGTGAATGAGGGGTCCGGGGAGACCGGATATAGTGAATGCGGGGTCCAGGGGGGAGACCGGATATAGTGAATGAGGGGTCAGGGTCCGGGGAGACCTGGGATATAATGAATGCGGGGTCCGGGGAGAGCGGATATAGTGAATGCGGGATCTGGGGAGAGCAGATATAGGAATGCAGGGTCCGGGGGGAGACTAGATATAGTGAATGCAGGGTCCCGGGGAGACTAGATATAGTGAATGCAGGGTCCGGGGAGAGCGGATATAGTGCATGCAGGGTCCGGGGAGACTGGATATAGTGAATGCAGGGTCCGGGGAGAGCGGATATAGTGAAGTCCGGGCAGGGTCCGGGGAGACTGGATATAGTGAATGCGGGGTCCGGGGAGAGCGGATATAGTGAATGCAGGGTCCGGGGAGAGTGGATATAGGAATGCGGGGTCGGGGAGAGCGGATATAGTGAATGCGGTCAAGGAGCGGGGGTCCGGGGAGAGCGGGAGACCAGATATAGTGAATGCGGGGTCCGGGGAGACTGGATATAGTGAATGCGGGGTCCGGGGAGAGCGGATATAGTGAATGCAGGGTCCGGGGAGTGAGTGGATATAGGAATGCGGGGTGGTCTGGGGAGAGCGGATATAGTGAATGCGGGGTCCGGGGAGAGTGGATATAGGAATGCGGGGTCCGGGGAGAGCGGATATAGTGAATGCGGGGTCTGGGGAGAGCGGATATAGTGAATGCGGGGTCCAGGGAGAGCAGATATAGTGAATGCGGGGTCCGGGGAGAGCAGATATAGTGAATGCGGGGTCCCAGTGAGAGCAGATATAGTGAATGCGGATATAGGGATCTGGGGAGAGCAGATATAGGAATGCAGGGTCCCGATATAGTGAATGGGGTCCGGGACTGGATATAGTGAATGCGGGGTCCGGGGAGAGCGGATATAGTGAATGCGGGGTCCGGAGGAGAGCGTATATAGTGAATGCGGGGTCCGGGGAGAGCGGATATAGTGAATGCGGGGTCCGGGGAGAGCGGATATAGTGAATGCGGGGTCCGGGGAGAGCGGATATAGTGAATGCGGGGTCCGGGGAGAGCAGATATAGTGAATGCGGGGGTCCCGGGGAAGCAGGGTCCGGGGAGAGCGGATATAGTGAATGCGGGGTCCGGGGAGAGCGGATATAGTGAATGCGGGGGTCCGGGGAGAGCGGATATAGTGAATGCGGGGTCCGGGGAGAGCGGATATAGTGAATGCGGGGTCCGGTTAGACCCGATATAGTGAATGCGGGGTCCGGGGAGAGCGGATATAGTGAATGCGGGGTCCGGGGAGAGCGGATATAGTGAATGCGGGGTCCGGGGAGAGCGGATATAGTGAATGCGGGGTCCGGGGAGAGCGGATATAGTGAATGCGGGGTCCGGGGAGAACGGATATAGTGAATGCGGGGTCCGGGGAGAGCGGATATAGTGAATGCGGGGTCCCGGGAGAGCGGATATAGGAATGCATGGCCCGGGGAGAGCGGATATAGTGAATGCGGGGTCCGGGGAGGGGAGAGCGGATATAGTGAATGCGGGGTCCGGGGAGAGCGGATATAGCGATCTCTTTACTTGTTGAGCTATGCTTCATTCCTTTCTTTGATGGCAATGGGAGAAAGTTCGCGGGCAATGATTTTTGTGCACCCCAAGAAGACGCATACCTATCGCCAACATATTGTACCCAACCTATAAAAGACCAAGATCAAGGGCACATAGAAAAAGCTATCTCTAACCTTCTTCACGACATTCAGTTTATCCGGTGCGTGGTCAAAGAGCGTATCGAAGGCATCTCTTTCTGGAAAAGAAAAAAAAAGATAAAAACATATAAAAACATATAAAAGCTCAGTGAGCGGTGCTGAATCACACATATCATCTGATAGGTTCACCTCCTATTAGAGTACAACTTTGGTCTCCCATAAACGGATATGTGCTACTGAACGTCTTAACTTCAAAAAGTTCCCTCCCCCTCCTCCTACTTATCCTCCATAACCTGTATATAAAAAAAAAAAAAGTTTACTTACCTTTTTTCAGGACAAATTGGGCTTTTATTCAGTGGTAAATGGTAATGGATATCTCTTTTTTTTTTTTTAATACCAAAGGAAAATATTAAAAAAAAAATTTTTTTTTTAAATTTAGCTGTGTGGTTCTTGTTACTACCATAACCTACCACCAAAGAACAACCCAAAATACATTTTCTAGCTCTTGTCGATCGCAGCGATACCATATATGTGTATGTTATTTGTTGTTTATACCCGGAGTACAGCCAAGAAACAATAGTGTGCATTTTGTTTTGTTTTTTTTGCCTAAAACACACTGACACTAATACCAATTTAAAAAAAAAAAAAAAAAAATGACCTTTGACCCTGACCTTTTCAGCTTGACCTTTGACCCTGACCTTGACTCAAAACACTTACCCTGGCACTGGACTAGATCAAACCTTGATCTAGGTATTCTTTATTTTTTAAATATTTATTTTTTACAAATATTTTTTTTTCTCTATGCCAGGAGTTAGAGAGATACAATGTATCTCTCTCCTCCATTCATAGAGAAGAAAAAAAGAGGCAATACAGTGACTGATCACTGTGATAGCTAATCAGAGGCTATCACAGCGATCATGTGACCTAGAATCGGGGGGTCCTGGGTCCCGACCCTGAGATCGTGACCCGGGGTTCTCAGTGACACCCCGGTCTTTGTGTTGGGAGCTGTGCACACAGAATTTCACAATTTCTCTATGTTCTGTCCATGATGAAGTAGCAGACATGGTAATGCACGTGGTCAGAATAGCACCAGTTGCATAGCACCCGATGTACACAGGACGATGTCTTTGGGCACACTGACTTATGAAGGTCGGTGCTTCCTGTGACTGTGCATGCAGCCATGTGCTGCCATCTACTGGTGTATTACAAAAACTAGTCTCAAAATATTTTGTCACCACCTTGTACATTATCCTCTACATCCAGTTCTAAAGTGTTATTCAAAGAGTGCAGTGATATGTGTGGAAGCTGAGAGATGGTCCTGGGACTCTATGAAACATCTATCAGGCAAAAGCAAGAAACAATTCAAACATATCAATTCTTACCATGTCTGCCTGATAAGGCCCTTTGGAAAGAGAAGAAAAAAAAAATATTATCAATCTTCAGATTACAACACAACCATATTTATCTCTGCACAATTATTTAGCTCAAGAATGAGGAAAACAAGCAACCTGACTGTCCATAGACCAACGATGAGTACATCCTCTGTAGAGCGACCCGACACTGCTGTGCAGGGGCGGACTGACCATTTGGAAATTTCCTAAACCCCGGACCCCGCATTCACTATATCCGCTCTCCCTAGACCCTGCAATCACTATATCCGCTCTCCCCGGACCCCGCATTCACTATATCCGCTCTCCCCGGACCCCGCATTCACTATATCCGCTCTCCCCGGACCCTGCATTCACTATATCCGCTCTCCCTAGACCCTGCATTCACTATATCCGCTCTCCCCGGACCCTGCATTCACTATATCCGCTCTCCCTAGACCCTGCATTCACTATATCCGCTCTCCCCGGACCCTGCATTCACTATATCCGCTCTCCCCGGACCCTGCATTCACTATATCTGGTCTCCCCGGACCCCGCATTCACTATATTCTCCCCAGACATTCACTATATCCGCTCTCCCCGGACCCCGCATTCACTATATCCGCTCTCCCCGGACCCGCATTCACTATATCCGCTCTCCCCGGACCCTGCATTCCTATATCTGGTCTCCCCGGACCCCGCATTCACTATATCCGGTCTCCCCGGACCCTGCATTCACTATATCCGCTCTCCCCGGACCCGCATTCACTATATCCGCTCTCCCCGGACCCCGCATTCACTATATCCGCTCTCCCGGACCCCGCATTCACTATATCCGCTCTCCCCGGACCCCGCATTCACTATATCCGCTCTCCCCGGACCCCGCATTCACTATATCCGCTCTCCCCGGACCCCGCATTCACTATATCCGCTCACCCCGGACCCCGCATTCACTATATCCGCTCTCCCCGGACCCTGCATTCACTATATCCGCTCTCCAATATCCGCTCTCACCGGACCCAGCATTCACTATATCTATATCCGCTCTCCCGGACCCCGCATTCACTATATCCGCTCTCCCCGGACCCCGCATTCACATTATATATCCATTCTCCCCGGACCCTGCAATCACTATATCCGCTCTCTCCCCAGCTCTCCCCCCCGCATTCACTATATCGGGTCTCCCCGGACCCTGCATTCACTATATATCCGCTCACTCTCCCGGACCCCGCATTCACATTCACTATCCGCTCTCCCCGGACCCTGCATTCACTATATCCACTCTGCATTCCCGGACCCGCATTCACTATATCCGCTCTCCCCGGACCCTGCATTCCTATATCTGCTCTCCCCGGACCCCGGATCCCCGCATTCACTATATTCGGTCTAATCCGCTCTCCCCGGACCCTGCATTCACTATATCCGCTCTCCCCGGACCCCGCATTCACAATATCCGCTCTCACCCGGACCCCGCATTCACTATATCCGCTCTCCCCGGACCCCGCATTTCACTATATCCGCTCTCCCCGGACCCCGCATTCACTATATCCGCTCTCCCCGGACCCCGCATTCACTATATCTGCTCTCCCCGGACTCTGCATTCACTATATCCGTAAAGGAACAGAAGTTTCGCCTGTTATATGGGGTGAACTTTATGACCCGGTTAGCCGATTTTCAAAATTAATGATGGCACCATCGGATTACCGAGCGAACGTTTTCGATTTTCGGATGAAAAATCGTTCGGTATTCAAACCATGTATGGCCTGCATTACTTTTAAACAGGGCAGTCCTCTGTGCAGCACCCAACAATGACCTCATTCCTCCATAGTGCTGCTCCCATTTGGAGCCCGGGACGGGACCATTACCCTTTCCTCTACTCCCATTCCCTTCATTCCTTCTAGACTACTTCATGAGCTGAGTGAGAGGACACTGACTGCACCTCCACCACCGCAGGTCCTCATTAGCATCAATGCATGAGCCGCCGTTCTCACAGACATCTGCGTCCGATTATATGGTGGTATTACGTACTCTGTGTCACCAGTGATTTCCTCCTGAATCTGGCGCGACTGCAACATTCCATCCAGCTTCTGTACCGGAAAAAAGGCATACAGAGAGGTGATGACTAAACATGACTTGTTACATTTATTTATTTCAGGTACTTATATAGCGTCGTCAATGTACTCCACACTTTACATATATATTGTACATTCACATCAGTCCCCGCCCCCGAGGAGTGTACAATCGAAGGTCCCTAACTCACATTAATGCATACACATACTAGGGCCAATGTAGACAGGAGACAATTAACCTCCCAGCATGTCTTTAGAGTGTGGGAGGAAACCGGAGTACCCGGAGGAAACCCACACAGGCACAGGTAGAACATGCAAACTCCAGGCAGGTGGTGCCATGGTTACATTATGCTAAATACTTGGAACAAAAATTTCTTCAAAAGTCCCACGTACATCATTCAACCAGCAGAAAGATGTCTATATGCGTGATAAGGCACAATCTGCAGAAGAAAAAAAAAAACTGCCCACTTTATTAGGTCCCACCTGTTCAATTAGGTTGGTAACAAAAATTGCTAATCAGCCAATCACATGGCAGCAACTCAATGCATTTAGGCATCTAGACTGGTGAAGGCGATTGCTGAAGTTCAAACCGATCATCAGAATGGGGAAGAAAGGGGATTTAGGTGACTTTGAACGTGGCATGGTCGTTGGGGCCAGACGGGCTGGTCTGAGTATTTAAAAAAACTGCTGATCTACTGGGATATTCACACACAGCCATCTTTAGGGTTTACAGAGAATGGTCCAAAAATGAGAAAATATTCAGTGAGCAGGAGCTGTGTGCAGGAAAATGCCTTGTTGATGCCAGAGGAGAATGGGCAGAATGGTTTGAGATGATAGAAAGGTAACTCAAATAACCACTCGTTACCCACATGGAAGGAAAATATCTTTGAAATATATTTAAAAATATTCTTCCCATATATACTGACATATATTTGAAATATTCCAATTTTGGCCGTATTCAATATATATTAAAAAAAAAAAAAAATTTAAAATATAAACTGCATGTCAAAATGCATATTTTACATATTACAATATATATGAAACATTTTAAAAATATATTTTTTATAAATATATTCTTCAGATTTTTAAAGACATACAGTGTAATTTGAAAAAAAAAAAAAAAAAAATTATATATATATATATATATATATATATATATATATATATATATTTTATTTATTTCACGTACTAATATAGCGCTGTCAATTTACGCAGCGCTTTACACATATATATTGTACATTCACATCAGTCCTAACCCTCAAGGGGCGTACAATCTGAGGTCCCTAAACATACAGTTGCAAGAAAAAGTATGTGAACCCCTTGGATTACGTGGAGTTTTGCATGAATTGGGCATAAAATTGTGCTCTGAACGTCATCTAAGTCACAACAATAGAAGAACACAGTCTGCTGAACATAAATACTACACAAACATTAGATGTTGCCATGGTTTAATTGCACATAAACATGTAAACATTCACAGTGCAGGGAGGAAAAAGTATGTGAACCTTTGGACTTAATAACTGGTTGACCCTCTTTTGGCAGCAATAACCTCAATCAAACGTTTCCTGTAGTTGCAGATCAGACCTGCACAACGATCTGGAGTAATTTTGGACCACTCCTCTTCACAAAACTGTTTCAGCGTAGCAATATTCTTGTTATGTCTGGTGTGAATCGCTCTCTTAAGGTCATGCCACAGCATTTCAATCGGGTTGAGGTCAGGACTCTGACTGGGCCACTCCAGAAGGCGTATTCTGTGCTGTTGCAGCCATTGTTTTGTTGAATTACTTGTATGCTTTGAGTCATTGTCCTGTTGCATCACCCATCCTCTGCGGAGCTTCAGTTGGCGGACAGATGGTCGTACGTTTTTCCTGCAAAATGTCTTGATAAACACTGGAATTCATTTTCCCATCAATGACAACAATCCATCCAGGCCCTGAGGCAGCAAAGCAGCCCCAAACTATGATGCTCCCTCCGCCATGTTTTCACAGTGGGGATGAGGTTTTGATGTTGGTGTGCTGTGCCTTTTTTTCTCCACACATAGTGTTGTGTGTTCTTCCCAAACAAACTCAATCTTGGTTTCATCTGTCCACAGTATATTTTGCCAGTAGTGCTGTGGAACATCCAGGTGCTCTTTTGCAAACTTCAAACGTGCTGCAATATTCTTTTTGGACAGCAATGGCTTCCTCCGTGGTGTCCTCTCATGTACTCCATTCTTGTTTAATGTTTTCCTTATTGTAGATGTGTCAACAAAAATGTTAGCATGTGCCAGAGATTTCTGTAGGTCTTTAGCTGACACTCTGGGATTCTTCTTTACCTCATGCAGCATTCTGCGCTGTGCTCTTGCAGTCATTTTTACAGGACGACCACGCCTAGGGAGAGCAGCAGCAGTGCTAAACTTTCTCCATTTGTAGACAGTCTGTCTTACCGTGGACACATGAACATCAAGGCTTTTGAAGATCCTTTTGTAACCCTTTCCAGCTTCATGCAAGTCAACAATTCTTGATCATAGGTCTTCTGAGAGCTCTTTTCTGCGAGGCATGGTTCACATCAGACAGTGCTTCTTGAAACCAGTAAACCCAAAACAGTGTGTGTGTTTTTAAGGGCAGCGGACAGCTGTCAGCAACACATCCAATATCATCACACTGATTGGAGTCAAGGTTGGCTCACTCCTGGCTCCAATTAGCTCTGGGAGAAGTCATTAAGCTAGGGACCTCACATACTTTTTCCTCCCTGCACTGTGAGTGTTTCATGTTATGTGCAATTAAACCATGGCAACATCTAATGTTTGTGTAGTATTATGTTCAGCAGACTGTGTTCTTCTATTGTTGTGACTTAGATGATGTTCAGAGTACATTTTTTTTATGCCCAATTCATGCAAAACTCTACGTAATCCCAAGGGGTTCACATACTTTTTCTTTGCAACTGTATATATATATATTATATATATATATATAAAACACACACTGCATGTTGAAAAATGCATATTTTATATATTACAAAATATATGAAAAATATTTGTAAAAATATAAATTTATAAATATATTCTTCAGAATTTTTAACACATACAAAAGTAATTTTAACATACGCCCCTTTGAGGGTTAGGGACTGATGTGAATGTACAATATATATATGTGTAAAGCGCTGCATAAATTTACGGCGCATATTAGTACGTGAAATAAATAAATATGTTGAAATGCATATTTTATATATTACAAAATATACGAAACATATTTTTTAAAATATATTTTTTATAAATATATTCTTCAGATTTTTAACACACACAAAAGTAATTTTAACATATATTTTACATATATTTGTAAATGCATTACAAAAATGTAGATTAAATGTAAAGACATACAGTATATTTAAAAATGTATTTGTAAAAATATTTTTCATATATTTTTTATTATAAACACATTTCAAAATACAGTATATATATATATATATATATATTATATATATATCTAGCAAGGTGGACCTAATAAAATTGGCCGGTGAGTGTAGAGTTTTGGGATTTTGTTGGAAATAGGTGACAAGGGACCATATTTCCACCATTGGAACCTGCCGACATCCAACCTTTGGCACCCAAAGCAATAATCACGAAGTAGGATTCAAATGCCCAGCATGCTAACAGTAAATACGGTCCTAGAATGACATCGCTTCTGTTTTAGGTAGGCAATGCTGCATTTCCCAGGATTTTGGTGAACCGTTTTTTTTTTTCAACAAAAGAAAAATAAATTCTATTATTTTTTTTTTTTTTTTAAATATGAAACTAAGCTTAGGATGACACTGTAAGGGAAAAAAAAAAAACAAATACTTCTGGATGTGGCTGTCCTTAAATGCTTAAAATTAACAAACATCACACTACAGTCATTACTGCTCTGGTTTCAACCTAAAATCAGATACACTCTGTAGTAAATCAAATCTGACAGGCTAATTGCAGTGTGCTCTGCAGACCATTACCCACGTGCTGGCTATTTATTAAGTGTCAAGCGAGCTAGTGCACATCTCAATATAGTCCTACAAATGGGGATAATCAGGTTGGGAGGTTGGCAACAAGTGTAGCACTCATTAATTGTGCACGTCAGACATAGATGTTAAAAAAAAAAAAAAAAAAAAAAAAAAAAAGGGACACAAATTGAATCTCACCCAAGGTGAAAGAGAAAAAAAAATGCATTCATTTTCATGCAGTTTTCAGAAATCTATTACATTTTCTCTTTAGAAATCCCTTTGGGTACTCAACAGTTCAGGGGATTGAAGTACTAAGAGCAAGATTGGAAATGAGTCAACAGAACACTTTGGAAAATTTAACACAAAAAAGACACAAAAGAAACGAGAGGCAGCATATCTTATTGTAGGGTCAATGTCAGCGCTAGAAAATGGAATGGGTTGTAGCCAAGTACTACCCAAAGCCTTTGTGACAAAAATATGAGACATTTCCTTTGCTGGACCAATGCCTAAACTCTTGAAGTTCTTCATTTGCATCTTCACCGGCTTCCATCAAATGTTATAATCTATGATCAAAAAACTCCCTGACCCTTGTGATCCAGTTAGGAGCCACCAGCTATCACAAAAACAATGTCGAAAAAACAGGGCCTATAGAGTACATGTAAGGTAGCACTAGACTTTTTGGGTGGTGTGGTCTGTGATGGCTTAAAACAGTGGTCTCAAACTGTGGCCCTTTGCTTTCCTTTATCCGACCCTTGAGGCACTATTACTCCTACTGACACCAACAATGGGGAATAATTCTTGCTACAGACCCCAACAATGAGGCACTATTCCTTCCCACTGATATTAATGATGGGGCACTATTCCTCCCACTGACACCAATGATGGGGCACTATTCCTCCCACTGACACCAATGATGGGGCACTATTCCTCCCACTGACACCAATGATGGGGCACTATTCCTCCCACTGATACTAATGATGGGGCACAATTCCTCCTGATTCCAATGATGGGACACCATTCCTCCCACCCACTGTTCCTCCCACACCAATGATGGGGCACAATGATATTCCTCCCACTGACACCAATGATGGGGCACAATTCCTCCTAATTCCAATGATGGGGCACCATTCCTCCCACTGACACCAATGATGGGGCACTATTCCTCCCACTGACACCAATGATGGGGCACTATTCCTTCCACTGATACCAATGATGGGGCACTATTCCTCCCCCCCCTGACACCAATGATGGGGCACTATTCCTCCCACTGATACCAATGATGGGGCACTATTACTCCCACTGATTCCAATGATGGGGCACTATTCCTCCCACTGATACCAATGATGGGACACTATTCCTCCCACTGACACCAATGATGGGGCACTATTACTCCCACCCACTGACACCAATGATGGGGCACTAATCCTCCCACTGATTCCAAGGATGGGGCACTATTCCTCCCACTGATACCAATGATGGGGCACTATTCCTCCCACTGACACCAATGATAGGTCACTATTCCTCCCACTGGCACCAATGATGGGGCACTATTCCTCCCACTGATACCCAATGATGGGGCACTATTCCCCCACACTGATACCAATGATGGGGCACTATTCCTCCCACTGATACCAATGATGGGGCACTATTCCCCCCCACTGATACCAATGATGGGGCACTATTCCCCCCCACTGATACCAATGATGGGGCACTATTCCCCCCACTGATACCAATGATGGGGCACTATTCCTCCCACTGATACCAATGATAGGTCACTATTCCTCCCACTGGCACAATGAAGGGGTACTATTCCTCCCACTGATACCAATGATGGGGCACTATTCCTCCCACTGATACCAATGATGGGGCACTATTCCTCCCACTGACACCAATGATGGGGCACTATTCCTCCCACTGACACCAATGATGGGGCACTAATCATCCCACTGACACCAATGATGTGGCACTATTCCTCCCACTGATACCAATGATGGGGCACGATTCCTCCCAATGATACCAATGATGGGGCACTACTCCTCCCCCTGACACCAATGATGGGGCACGATTCCTCCCAATGATACCAATGATGGGGGAACCAATGATGGGGCACTATTCCTCCCACTGATACCAATGATGGGGCACTATTCCTCCCACTGATACCAATGATGGGGCATTGTTTATTCCCACTGACACCAGGACATTTTCTACTGCCGCTGGCCACAGTCTGGCTCGCCTAAAGTCTGAAGGACAGTAAACTGGCCCTTTGTTTAGAAAGTTTGGAGACCCCTGGCTTAAAACATGGAGGGTCCTTGGAGTGGGTGGCTGAATAAATTTTGAATGGGTGGGGAAAATATGATAACCACTAGAATGGTATCCTGGGATATCGTATATAAAGAGAACATTTTGGTACATAAAGGACTCTGTTGATACCCACTGGTAACCCAGAAAGCCATGCCAGGTTCAGTAGTGACGACCAGTCTCAAAAAGCTGCTCTTCTCCCGTCTTGTCCTATGCCCTCTCACCAACATTATCATGTACTATGCAGGACCATCTGCCACTACTGGTCCTATGCCCATATTATATAGCTGTCACCGAAGCAAGCCTTCCCATTGGACGATGTCTGCTTTATTCCTGTGCTGGTGATAACTGTAAAATTTTGGATTTCTGTTTCGGTGACAATGGCCATCAGGAGATCAAGATAAACCTGCAAAGAGTTTTGCTTCTTCCCTATTCTATCTAAAACAAACAAAACAAATTTTGGCTGTACACTTTAAATAAAAAGATCTTTCAGCGCCATCTTGTCTTGGCCAGCTTGAGAGATTTTCGTACCTGTACAACCACAACTTGTATGGAGACGTGATCTGGAAGCCGAATTGGAGCACGGAAGTACTGGGACAAAGCAACTAGCAGGTGAAGAATGGCCACCACCGACTTGGCATGGACAGCTGGAAAATACAAAAGAATTTAAATAGATAAATAACAGGGATTTGGGCGGGTGGGGTGGCTTTTTGAGTATTTTCTGGGTCATTGTCCTGGCAGATCAGCACTTCACTGGCTACGTGCTTGTTCAGGGTTGGTGGTTCAGAGAGGAAGGGAACCCAAGGAAGGATTTTCTCCAGCCAGCGCTTCTATCCACCCTATATTTTCTCATCCCAGCAAGATAGTTAACATATTCATATGATGAAGTTACTATCTGATGTAACAGGAATGAGCAACAATCAGGGGCAGACTGACCATTTGGAAACTTGGGCTCTGTCCAAGGGCTGGGGGTCAGTAGGGGGCCCCATGAGATGCCCCTGGTACCTTTTTCATAGGTTTTTTGAGTTTTGGGCAAGGACACAGGGGCCTCATGATCCCCTATTGCCCGGGGGCCCCATGAGTTGTCAGTCCGCCCCTGGCAACAATACTGCGATCATTTCTTGGTTGAGTACAAGAACATTTCCAGGAAGCTGGAAATCCACTTTGTGTGGTAAGCTTCTTGAGTCACTGCAGGTGCTCATCATGTTCGGATTACAAGTGAAACATGAGCATTGCTGGATAATACTGGACTCTTATGATGATCCTAATGCAAAACATAGAGATCTTGACTCCATGGTGTCAGACAACAGGATGGTTTTATGCAACAGAGGGTGCTTTAGGGTCTGTGTCATTGGGCTTTGGTGTACCCTGAGCTGTGGCTATGCTAAATAATAACAGGGGTTCAGGGGCGGACTGACCATTGGGTAACTTGGGCGCTGCCGGAGGGCCCAGGGTCAGTAGGGGGCCCCATGAGATGTCCCTTGTACCTTTCATAGGCTTTTTTGGGTCTGATTGAGTGTGGGCGAGGACACAGGGGCCCCATGATCTCCTATTGCCCGGGGGCCCCATGAGTTGTCAGTCCGTCCCGCAGGGGTTCTCAGAGTTGTGAAAAATATTGCAAGGGTTTCCCCATATTAAAAAGGTTGAGAAGGCAGGACTTAAGGATCTGGGTTCTCAAAGATCAAAATTCCTTTGGGCAATTTTTTTTCACACTCAGCGAGACCTCTGCACTTGAGTTTCCAGACCCACTGGGAAGAAATGGCCAATATATTTAACAAAAATGAAAATTGAAGCATTACACCACTGCTAAGAGGTCCAGATACAACTTTATTCTAATAAAAATTGGGGTGGGGGGACAAAAGTATCCAACGCATTTTGGGGGTCCAAGATTGGTTTGACTGCCAAGCCAGCTGCTAACAAGGCCTGTGCTTGCAATCAGGCCAAAAAAAATAACACTAAAGTGTTACTAAACCCTGGACCTTGAATTCACTATATCTGGTCTCCCCGGACCCCCCGCATTCACTATATCCGCTCTCCCCAGACCCCGCATTCACTATATCCGCTCTCCCCAGACCCCGCATTCACTATATCCGCTCTCCCCAGACCCCGCATTCACTATATCCGCTCTCCCCGGACCCCGCATTCACTATATCCGGTCTCCCCGGACCCTGCATTCACTATATCCGCTCTCCCCAGACCCTGCATTCACTATATCCGCTCTCCCCGGACCCCGCATTCATTATATTCGTCTCTCCCCGGACCCTGCATTCACTATATCTGGTCTCCCCGGACCCCGCATTCACTATATCCGCTCTCCCCGGACCCCGCATTCACTATATCTGCTCTCCCCGGACCCCGCATTCACTATATCCGCTCTCCCCGGACCCTGCATTCACTATATCCAGTTTCCCCGGACCCTGCATTCACTATATTCGGTCTCCCTGGACCCTGCACTCACTTTATCCGCTCTCCCCGAACCCTGCATTCACTATATCCGGTCTCCCTGGACCCCGCATTCACTATATCTGCTCTCCCCAGACCCCGCATTCGCTATATCCGCTCTCCCCGGACCCCTCATTCACTAGATCCGCTCTCCCTGGACCCTGCATTCACTATATCTGCTCTCCCCGGACCCCGCATTCACTAGATCCGCTCTCCCCGGACCCCTCATTCACTAGATCCGCTCTCCCTGGACCCTGCATTCACTATATCCGCTCTCCCCGGACCCCGCATTCACTATATCCGCTCTCCCACGGACCCCGCATTCACTATATCTGCTCTCCCCGGACCCCGCATTCACTATATCTGCTCTCCCCGGACCCCGCATTCACTATATCCCCTCTCCCCGGACCCTGCATTCACTATATCCGCTCTCCCCGGACCCCGCATTCACTATATCTGCTCTCCCCGGACCCCGCATTCACTATATCTTGTCTCCACGGACCCTGCATGTACTATATCTGCTCTCCCCGGACCCTGCATTTACTATATCCGCTCTCCCCAGACCCTGCATTCACCAGATCCGCTCACCCCTGGACCCCACATTCACTATATCTGGTCTCCTCGGACCCTGCATTCACTATATCCGCTCTCTCCCCGGACCCCGCATTCACTATATCTGCTCTCCCCGGACCCCGCATTCACTATATCTTGTCTCCACGGACCCTGCATGTACTATATCTGCTCTCCCCGGACCCTGCATTTACTATATATCCGCTCTCCCCCAGACCCTGCATTCACCAGATCCGCTCTCCCCGGACCCGCATTCACTATATCTGGTCTCCTCGGACCCTGCATTCACTATATCCGCTCTCCCCGGACCCTGCATTCACTATATCCGCTCTCCCTGGACCCTGCATTCACTTTATCCGCTCTCCCCGGACCCTCCCGGCACGCACTCTCAGCACATATGTCTTTCTTAATTGCACGCAAATGTGTGGCTGCTCAGCGACAAGGCCCAGACGCTGGGAAACCGCACATTTGCATGTGGCCGGCATGAAGAGGTTAAAACTTCCCATTTCAAATGTTCTCAATCAGAAAAATAATCCTCCAGAATTAGGATGAATAGAAGGCAGAACTCACAGTCCACATTCCACTTGATGTTCCTTGGCGGTAGTTTCAGGGTTTCGTTGATCTTCTCCAGCACGGTCTGCAGTTTTTGCTTTTGAGCAATTTCAGATTGTGTCACTTCTGCTACATTCAGCTTTTCCCCTTCCAGCTTCTCTGTACGTGACAACAAGAGTTAGATATTCATTTCAGATCCAGACCTTTTTTTCAGCCTATGTAACCATCACTTGTAAGCAATTTTCAGCTTCCTGTACAAGTCTGACTTTCCTGAGAATGAAATGGACCTGGACCTACCATCAGACATACATTTCATGCTCCATACATCCATGCTAAAAATGTGTAATGTGTAAGTGATCCATTGCTAAAAAAATTACAATGTTGCAGTCCGATCACTGGGGTAGAGGAGACTGAGGAAATGCTTCTTCCTGACTGCAGCAGATTGAGGACATCATCTCAGCCTAGGTAAAGCTACTGGACTGGAGCTCAAGGATGGCTTATTAATAAAAACTCTACAGTTGCTGTATATCGAGACAAGTCAGAAATACATTCCTACAGACTAGCATTCCTATGGTGATGGTATCAAAACCTGATGACCTTAAATGAGGAGCCTCTGCACCTTTGTGACTATTATCAACACCTCCTTGTGACGGGAGTGACTTTTGGGGGTGGCGGGACCCCTGTATCATCTTCCAAAATTCTTATGTTTAACCACCCTGTGCCTGTTAAGGGGTACAGGGTGTGTGTCAGGAATGGACTCAGCACTGGTGGTGGGACTCACCTGCCGTGTGGGCTGCAGTACCAGGGCTGGCCAGCGGGTGCTCTCAGCAACAAGAGGATCACTCCTGAAATCAGCCATCACCTGAGGCTGATTGCAGGCGGTGTATTTAAGGAATGGCCAGACCTGCAGTCAGTGCCTTGGTGTATGTTTCCCATGTGCCCCTGTATCGTGTTACCTGTGCCTGATCATCTGTTCTGTGAAGTACCCTTTGTTGCCGACCCTGCTTTGATCCTGATCCTGCTGACTGTCTCCTGCACTGACCCCTGGCTCTTTACATGACTACTCTCTGCCTGCTCCTCCTGTACCTACCTGCCTGTTACTAAACCCGGCCTGCCCGACTACGCTTGTGTTCCCACACATATTGAGACTAGCTTAAGGTTTGGTTTGGTTTTGCATTGTGTGTTCTGTGTATTGTGGAACCTTAAATAAATTGTATTACTTTTACACCATCCTTGAGACTGCGTTTCCCTGTGTTAGTCCACACATCTCTGGTCATACCCGGATCCCTGACAGTGTGGATGTGAATGTCTATTGTGTATTGGTGTGTTGTCCTTTGTTACCTGCCACGTGGTTGCCTATTGTCCTCTACCATTGTTCTGTGTCTTGGTTGGATGGGGCAGGCTGATGATGTGTTTCCTGTAGCCCTCCCCACTCAAGGGGGCGGGCTTATGATGTGTTTCCTGTAGCCCTCCCCACTGATGGGGCGGGCGGATGATGTGTTTCCTATTCCTGGTTGTATTTCCCCGCCCTGTGTATATATCTTGTGTTTTGTGTAAAAATAAAGGGTTGACTTCCTGTGTTAAGAAGAGTCTGATGCTGTCTATTTCCTGTATGATCAGCGGGTGTGGTCCGTGGATGGTGTTCGGACAGGGAAACGGAAATACCCAAGTGCTGTCTGGTTCCGGTTCCGTTACACTCCTGTAACTGCAAACCTTTGTAGAAACCACTATAGCTATAGGTTTTCTAACTTGCACAATGCAAAAAATGCAATCTACACTACTTCCAATTCAAAGGGACTCTGCAATACAAAAAACCTGCCTAACTCATTAGTCTCTAAAGGCAATACCAAGCCAAATTAAAAAAAATCATATCCAAGAAGAACTGCACCATTTATTGGTTCAAAGACATAAGGAAAATAGTAATTTTTCAAGCTAATTACGAAGCAAGGCTCCCTCCAGTGGGTACAAAGAATGTGACTCGAAGCATTAAAATACAAGTGAAGAGCCACCCAAATGATGAAAGAGTCTAAATGACTTTAATGGTTCATAGTGAAATCACAATAAACAGCCAGCACATTCCGGGGCCAAACCACTCCCCCTTTATCAGGCCTTGAAACTTAATCAGAGCTCAAGTGGACTCAATACCATACAGTCATTCCCAAGCAGGATCCCACAAAACCCTAGGGTTCCTCAAGAGGTAGCTAGGAGTTTCTTTCGCTGATTAACCTCCCATTTGAAGGTGCTCTCATAGGTCCAGGGCCAACATCACTTGACAGAGCCAGTCGAATGAAAACAGTGTTCTTTTTAGTTCTCTTTAACAGTTGATTTTTGACTGTAAGGGGGCATTATTTTCACTGGCCACCAATGTAAGGGTCATCCTCTCCGTTGGCTACCAATGTAAGGGGGTCATTCGGTTCACTGGCCGCCTATGTGAAGGGGTCATCCTGTTCTCTGGCCGCCAATGTGAGGGGGTCATCCTGTCCTCTGGTCACCAATGTAAGGGGGGTCATTATGTCCACTGCCAACCAATGTAAGGGGGTCATTCTGTCCACTGGCCACCAATGTAAGGGTGTCATTCTGTTCACTGACCACCAATGCAGGGGGTCATTCTATCCACTGGCCACCAATGTAAGGGTCAGCCGCTCCATTGGCTACCAATGTAAGGGGGTCATTCGGTTCACTGGCCGCCAATGTGAGGGGGTCATCCTGTCCTCTGGCTGGCAATGTGAGGGGGTCATCCTGTCCTCTGGCTGGCAATGTAAGGGGGTCATTCTGTTCACTGACAACCAATGTGAGGAAGTAATTCTGTACGCTGGCCACCAATGTAAAGGATCATTTTCTCAATGACCCCCAATGAATTGGTTTTAGCCTTCGCCAAGACCTTAAAATAGTTTCAAGGTCTACTGGGGTAAACAGTTTGAGAAAACCTGCTTTACCAGGTTGTATCTGGATAATTCAGGGAGATAAAATAAAGGCTATGCCAGAATTAACTGGTGGTAAGAAAGTCTAATTCAGTTACTAATCCTAGTTGCAATTATTTTGACTGGATTTCGGCTTTGGATGCTCATATTGGCCTGAGTGTGTGCTTATTGAAGGAACATTCCATTGCAGGTCCACTGCAGATAATCATATTCCAAGTTGGAGGTTCATAAGTATGGGGAAGAAAAAAATACAACACCGTGGCTGACGCACAAACAAATGACTATAGCATAGCTGTAGAAGAAACAGCCTCCTGACTCCGGACATTAAAGACAGCGTGAAGTGGCACGGTGCTAAGAGGGCTCCAGCAAGATGGCAGGATGAAGAGCTGGACGGTGCGGCTGAAAGATAAAAAAGATCTTAGCACGGCGAGGAAGATGCAGAGAGGCTAAAAGCTCAGATGTACTAGCATCCTCCTTCATCTACCGCCTTAAGATGCTGTATTGGAAATCAATGAGCCTAGTATTAAGCACAGACAGGGTCACCAGGTTCTGAGACAAGCTTGAAAAGATGCAACTAACATTTTTTACTGAGGAAATAACAGATGAAACATGAAGCCTGGCTCTCGGGAGACGCATTTAGGCGCCGGGTCACTGGAAGGTTTCAGCACTGATGAATGACTTCACTGGTTTCATTAAATGATACGGACAGGTTAGATGGGAGGGGAAGGCGATAATTGTGATGATAATGAGGAATCCATACACACAGCTTATTGACATTATAAGTATATAATGTGGCCTTCACAACATCTGGGTATAATTTGACATATATAAAGGACCCATCAACCGGTATTTGTGTTGCATAACCCAAGGCTGTAGTTAATGTTGGAAACCTAGAGTCCCTTCTATGAAAACGTCACCATTAATGGTCCCCGTGCTCCTAATTGTTAGAAGTAGATGGACGGATTTGTATCTTTCCACATCCTTAACCATTATACGTAGAGTATCCTCAACAATCTTCTAAGAGCAAGAGCTATGAATCTTTCCAATAGGCTTTCCAGAAGTTAAAGTGGACTTGTCAGAAACTTGAATACATTTTTGATCAGCAACTGTATAATTTTCAGAAAAGCTCCACCTTTCATCGTTGAGCTCCAGTCCATTGACTACTCTTAGGCAGGGGCGGACTGACCATTTGGAAACTCGGGCCCGGGATCAGTAGGGGGGCCCCATGAGATGCCCCTGGTACCATTTTCATAGGCTGTTTTGAGTTTGGGCAAGGACACATGGGCCCCATGATCCCCTTTTGCCCGGGGCCCCATGAGTTATCAGTCCACCCCTGCTCTTAGGTTGAGTACTAAAAACTAGATACTCCACCATTTATTCCAGTTATGCAATTCAGCCCTTTCCTGACCAGTCCCAGCGTCACTATTACGTCCGAGCGATGGGATGGTTTGCGTGATGACGTGACTACTGTGGTTGGCTGTCACAGTTACATAGTTAGTCTGGTTGAAAAAAGACAAAAGTCCATCCAGTTCCACCATAGAAAAAAAAAAAAGATATAATCCTACACCCACAGTTGAGCCAGAGGAAGGCAAAAAAAACCCAGCAAAGCATGATCCAATTTGCTCCTGCTGGGATAAAAATTCCTTCCCCCGAGAGGCAATCGGATATTTACTGGATCAACTTTACCTATAAATGTTAGTATCCAGTTATATTCTGTGTATCTAAGAAAGAATCCAGGCAGGGGCGGACTGACTATTTGGAAACTCGGGCACTGCCCAAGGGCCGGGGGTTAGTAGGGGGCCCCATGAGATGGCCCTGATACCTTTTTCATAGGCTTTTTTGAGTTTGGGCAAGGACACAGGCGCCCCATGATCACCTATTGCCCGGGGGCCCCATGAGTTGTCAGTCTACCCCTGAATCTAGGCCTTTTTTGAAGCAATCCACTGAGCTGGCCAGAACCAACTCTTGAGGGAGTCTATTCCACATTTTCACAGCTCTCATGGTGAAGAAACCTTTCCGTGTTTGGAGATTACATTTCTTTTCCTCCAGACGTAAAGAGCACCCCCTTGTCCTCTGTGATGACCTCAGGGTGAATAGCTCTACACCAAGTTCACAATATGGGCCACTGATGTATTTATACATACAGTGCCATACAGATCAGGGCCGCACTCTAATGATGCCAACCATTCCAATTTCTTCTCAAGTAACCATACTAGCTGGTAGAGGTCCATGATTAAG